CCTGGTACGGGGATAGCTTTACTTTTTTACTTTTTACTACGCTAAAATTACTTTATTCCCGAACTTGTATCTTCTCCACTGCTCAAAACACAACTGAAAGATGGAATTTGAATGGTGTCTGAAAACCTACCCTCTGTCTATTCTTACAAAGAACATGTTACTTAAGGCTGGAAGAACTGAGGTAAGTTCACAATAACATCCACACTCGGCCCGTCGCTTTCAGCCTTGTGTATAGTGTTCTTTTCTATTGCGGGCTTGTCAAAACTAGCCCCAAGCGTGACACTTCAAGACGCATGAGATACCCAGAAACCCTGAAAGGTTCACTGAACTTAAGGCTGCTAACGATACACCCAGTAAGGGCTAGAGACGAGCTAGCCCCTGCGTTATTGTACCCGTACAAATAAGCTGTGATATGGCCAAGACATCACTATTGCATTTTCGCGTCTCCTTAATTACATCATGATAACGGAAATATTAATGTTTTGATACAAATTTGATCTCAATAAACAGAATAAAATATGAATGAATACGAAAATTCAATACTACAACAAAATCAGGTGGGGCTTAGCTCCTTTAGCCCCCAATGACGCACCGCCCCTGGTGTTTTGTAACAGAGGCCTTGACCTCGACACTTCGTGTTCAGAAACATAACGAGGCCGCTTCTGTACACTTCCTTCCACGGAAACTACGCCTAGGCCCCTTCGTACTGCTTTGTCTCAAAGGAAGAAAAAAAGGGGGGAAAAAAAAGGAAAAGAAAAGATAGCCTTGTTTTGTGAACTCCACGCCTCAGATGGTTAAGCTAGACAGAATTCTCTTTATGTCGTCGCAGGTAACGAAAGTGTCAGTGAAGCAACTCATCGCTAAAGTGTCATAAGTCAACCGAATCGTTGCAACGGTAACATCACACAAAAGAATTGGTAAACAAGAAAATATTTGAAGAAAATATTTCGTTATTATATTGGACATTTACACTCCGATGGTGTGGAAATGCTTCCCGTTCAGTGGCGGCTCGTAGCTAAAATTAGTGGGGGTGCTGCTCCAGAAAATTTGTAGCGTTTGTTTTAAAATTGTATAAAAGGAAACAAACATGTATAAAAAGAAAATTTATTCAGAAACTTGATAAAATCCCAAGAGAACAAAATCAAACATTTTTTTGCTTACTTTAACCTAAATTGTTACAGTACAAGCTTAATCTATTCATTTAAAAATGAAATCCATTCTTCTTCTTTTATTTTGCGCGAAAAATCAATAATTATCTCCTTTATCTCTGGATGACAACTGAGGAAATTTGTCTCCATTGAAAGCACTGCAAGCACATTTATAGTCTTTCCGAATTCATAGTGCTTCTTAGAAAAGTTTTTATTCTTTTCAATGTTGAAAAGCAGCGCTCTGCCTCCGATGTAGTCATGGGAACTGTCAAGAGGACTTTTATCAGTTTCGTAATTTCACTAAAAACATCATCTAGATTATTTTCCAAGATAAATTTCAGCAGCTGTACAACTGACAGCCAAGCTACCGCAGTCCTCAGGCGTCCAGACCGGTTTTGAGACCCACAAAGTCTCCTGGAGAATGCGTCTCTCTCGCTCATTCCCCGAATGAAAAGCGGCCGGAAGGTCACGGGTTCGATTTCCAATGAGTTCGTTACATTTTTCAAATGACCTAATCCTTCCAGCCGCACTATGGCCCTGGAGTCGACTCAGCCTATAATAGAAATGAGTACCAGGAATCTTCCTGGGGGCAACGGGCGTCCGGCCTGCGCGTAAGGCTGACAACCTCACCGCCATCTTTGAGCCGATTGTCTACAAAATGTGGGAGCCTCACAATCCTACACGCCCCCACGTCTTGTTACATGGACAGCTTTACCTTTATTTACATTTTCACTCCTCAATACATCTTAATTACGTGGTGCTTAGTTCAGTGACAAATTTAGTTGCACCTTTTGTGTATGATACAGTTCTGAGAGGCGTAAATACAAAACTACAACATTTAATGTCCATTCCATATCGAAACTGCCTTCACTTGAGATAATCACGGACCCTACTGCAAAATTAGCAGCCTCGTTCTGATTTCAAAACTAACCACTTCGTTCTCTTGACTTAACTTGAAAGTAATCTCTGCCCCCCTGATACGGCCCAGTTGCGGAGTTACCGGGCGCAAAGCTTTGCAACCAACGATCCATCATCAGTCGCCTCTAACCGTCAGATTAACTGACTGACTGACTGTGACTAACACGTGGAACATAACCTAAAGGTTAAAGCCCACCACTGAAGAGAACCCTGGCCAAATTCCAGTCAGCTTCCATGCCTCATTTAAATCTTACCCTCCCATCGGCTTCTAGGCCATCCAAGATCACGCTTTCCAAAATGTTTACTCACAAAAATGTACTTATCGTCTGTGCCATCCTAGCTACATCCCAGCCCATCTTAGCCTCTTAGAATTCACTATTCTAAGAACACTGACACCCTCAATTGTACACTTAGCCCATCTTGCTTAGGTGTGTACATTTCTCAGACGTCTGCAATCGTACGCAAGGCAAATCGTCCGTCCGCAGATTCTCCTGGAATCTTCTTAGCATATTTTCCTTATTTCAAGTAATAAAAGGAGGTTTATGAGATCACCTTGCTCTGTTTGTGTTTGTCCATCTCTCTGTGTATCCCCTATAATTCTTTTTAGACTTGTGAGGCTTACCAGGCTACCACGTTGTCTGTACATCCCTTCTAATTATTTAGGTAACTTAAGATATCACTTTCCTGTTGATGTGTTA